TTCTTCTACTCATCCAGCCCCGCCCACCCCCATGACGCCTTCCCCCTGAGACTCTGTTCCCACCACGAATGCTGGCACTTGGATGAAGTACCCAGGCTCTTTTGGCATTCCTTTCATAGAGCAGAAGCCAGAGAGGTGAAGGTGGGCCTGAGGCAAGCCTCCAAAAGTGTGGGAATGAGCCCCCACCCTAGGAAACAAGCCTGGCTGCTCCTGGTATGTTCGTTGAGGACCCCTTGGCAGCCAGCCATTATTAGAGGAGACAAGGCAGCCAAGACAAGACGGAGGCTAATTACCTTGAGTAATAGGAAATTGGAAAACAGTTACAAGAAGAAATGTCTAGGCTTCTAGCCAGGTAAGGACAGGGACCACAGATGCCTAGCCTGGCTTCAGCCATTGGCCCGAGTGGACACTCCCACCCACAATCACACTTGGACTCCACCTGCCCAGGGGATCAGAAGCTGGCCCCACTGTTGGGTCTTTGAGGGGACCCTCTCTTTTTCTGCTTTTGTTTGTTTTCATTCAGAGCAAAACACAAGGAACAAACAAGGAAATTCAATTTAAATGGGGCACGGTTGCTGATGTTTCTGGTTTGTTCCAGGCGGGTGAGCTTAGGACAGAAAATCAGCCTTGACCTTCACTCCTCCAATTGGTCTCACCCTGAAGCACTGTAAAATTACATGGGTGGAGGGGCTGCAAAAGCAATTTGCCTTCCAAGGTAGGGCAAAGAAAAGGAGTTTGGATGAGAGGGGGCAGAGCCAAAAATTCAAATGAGAAACAGAGCGGAGACTGAGATGCTCTCTGATAAATAAAACCCTAGGAGAATAACAAATTGGAAGGTAAATGACAGACATGGACAGGAATTCATATGGAAAATAACCAGAGAAAGTTTATAAGATAAAGAGATACTAATAAGTGAACAGAGAGGCCCTGGCAGAAGCAGATAGTTGGGAAGGGTGGGAGTCCCAGGGGCAGGGATTGAGAATGGGTTCCATGGCAAAACTATGGTACCCAGAACTCCCAAGTTATAGTGACATTCATTATATGTTGCTGCAACTTCAGACCAGGCAGGCCATGCGTAGTCCAAGCCCAGCAGAAGCAGAGGGAGCAGGGCACGAGACCAGGCTCCTTGGTAGTCACTTAAGAGGTCCTCTTCTCTCCTGCCAGCTGAATCTTTTGGGGAGCTTGGATGGAGTATGCAGTGTCTGACTAGGCTTGTCATGAAAACATTGCTCTTTCCGAGTCTTTCCTCCTCTGCTTCTTCCCCCTCCTCTTCCCTAGACATCCCACAGGATACCTTCCAGGGCTGGTAGGACCCAATCCTGCTTCACAGAAACCAACTCCTCCAGAGTTGTCCTTGAAAGAAAATGACCCTGGTAATGGGGAGTTAGATCAGAGATCAAAATGGACAGGAGAAAACTGTTAACCCTTCCTGCTGGCCTCCTACACACCAGGCATTCTGGTAAACGGTCCTTCTAGGAGTTTTAAATATTCATAATAAAGTTCTCTGTTGTAGAACCTTGTGAGGCAGGAGTGACTACAAGCCTTTTTTTCTAGAGGAAGAATATATCTCTTAGAATAGTGGAAGATCACTTGTCTGGGACACTTTCTGAGCACTCAGGGGCAGAATCAGGATGACACCCAGGCCAGCCTGTCCCCAAAATATGTGCTCTTTCTGCTACCACATGTAGCACTTGGCTCAGAAGGAAAAAAAGAAATTCTGCTGAGGAATGAACAAACAGAAAATGAGAAATCCCAAGAACAGACACAGAAGCTATGTTAAAACTCAAGACCAAGTTGGTCAGACTTCACAGGAGGAGAGCCACCAGTGGGATGGAAGACTGTTCCAAACATTACCCTGGCTCCCTGTCAGAGCAGCCCAGATCCTAGGACCATTAATAAAAATCTATATTAATAGAAAGTAAATAAAACAAAGAGGTGTCCAGAGATGGGAAGACAAACTCATGACAAAACATTCCCAAAGCAGTGGAAGGAAGGGGACCCTACCCCAAGAGATGGGAAGCAGAGATGGTGCCAGGTCATTGCAAAAAGAAGAAATGAAGGGAAATATTTGTAATATTTAAAGGATAATAGCCAATTCATTAACTCTCAGCATCAATTGCTTTGGGGAAATTTGTAAACACATCTCATTACTGTTTGTAGACATTAGCTAAGCTAACATCACATTGCTACAGTGCCACCAACGACAGGGCTATTCCTTCTGACTTAATGGATGAGAACCGCCAGGTAAGTCTCTGACCTGTTACTCATATGCTTACTCATCTTACCCGTCAATCGAGGGATAGATGGGGCACTGAGAAAATTCACAATTGTCATAATTAGGTAGCAACAGCAGTAGAGATAAAACTGATACTTGCTCACACCAAGGAACCTAGAATGGTAGATGGACAGATGAATGGGTAGGTAGACAGAAAGATGGACAAAAAAGAGAAAAGTCTCCCAGAGACATGTCCATTATCCTAGAGAAGGAATGGGAGGCTCAGAGAATGAACACTAATAAAGAGAAAGGCATGAATTTGAACTGAAATCTATCTGCCTCTAGCATATGCCCTTAAGGAGGGGTAGAGGTATCAGCCATCAGAAAATGTTATAAAACTTCCGCTTCCCAATAGCATCATGGTTTTTAGTGTCAAAGGTTGTACAGCCTTGACTTTAGCCGTGTGCTTGTTGCATTGCACAGGTGCAGGAACTCCAGAGTCCAGGCACCCAGTGTGTGCTGGTTCTGAGGCTGTAGAGTTGGGATCCCAAAGCCTACATGCAGTCCTCATGTTCACCATCAAGTCCATGGCCGTTCCTTAAGGCACAATCATTCTTCTCTGGTTGTCTAGCACAGATAACTCTGTGTACTGCAGAACCCATATTTCTATAGCATTCACTGACCTCAAATGACCGAAGAGAAAGTCTGAATCATAATAACCGTGAGATTGCAGAGTCTAGCTTACAGGGTCCAGGTCTTAGTTCACAATGATATTCTTGAGTTTGCTCCATCGATGTATTTGTAGGGCAACTTATTTAAGTTTATACAACTAAATACAAATCCACATGTGTGTATCCTTTCATATCATTATCATGCTTTAAGTTACTCAATGATAGGGCCTCTGGTATCAGCCACATGGATACCTGAAGTGCACTATGAAGACATAAAAAATCCTTAGAAAATGTGGGTGTGAATGAAAACTATGTGAGAATATATAAACAGATGGACAAGTTATATAGAAGAAGAGACAGAAACGATAGGTAGATGGGGTATAGATGAATGGTGGGATAGATTAGTAAATGAAGCAATAAATAAATGATGAAAATAAAAGAAAAAATGAGTAAATGAATAAAAATAAGCAAACAAAAGAGTAATTGTTGATAAGGACGTCTGTTCCACTATGTTCATAGCAGCATTATTTGTGATGTCCAGAACCTGGAAGCAACCTAGATGCCCCTCAACCAACGAATGGATAGAGAAAATGTGATACATTTACACAATGGAGTACTATTCAGTGGAAAAGAACAATGGAATCTTGAAATTTGCAGGCAAATGGATGACACTAGAAGAAACCATCCTGAGTGAGGTAACTCAGTCACAAAAAGACAAACATGGTATGCACTCTCTCATATATGGATTTTAGACATGGATAAGGGGAGTGCCAGCCTACAATCCCATGGCCAGAGAGTCTGGGAAACAGAACCTTCAACTAATGACTGGTGGAAGCAGAGGCAGACACCCATAGCTAAACACTGAGCTGAACTCAAGGAACCCAGTGACAGAGAAGGAGGACTGATGAGAATAGGGGTCAAGACTGGCCTTGTTTAACTCACAGAAACAGCTGACCTGAACATGGGGAACTCTTGAACCCAAGACTGATGGCCGGGAATCCAGCATGGGACTGACCCAGACCCCCTGAATGTGGGTGTCAGTAAGGAGGCCCAGGCAATCTATTGGGCCTTGGGTAGTATAGATCAGTATTTATCCCTGGCATACAAATGGACTTTGGATGCCCGTCCCACAATGAGAGATGCTCTCTCAGCCTGGACTCTTGGGGCAGGGCCTAGGCCCTGCCCTGGATAAAATGACAGACTATGTATACCCCCCATGGAGGGCCTCACCCTCCCTGGGGAAAGGAGTGGGGATTGGGGGAGGAAGGGATGGGAGGGTTGGTGGGAGTACGTTGGATGAGGGGAGGGAGAGGGAGAGGGACCTGGGATTGACATGTGAAGCAACCTTGTCTCTAATTTAAATTTAAAAATAAAAAAGACATAAAAAGAGTAATTGTTGAAAAGCTTAACATACCATCAATTACAGCTTTCTAAGGTAATAAAGGAGGCGACCTGTGATTTCATCATTAGAGTTCTTTAATGTTATTTATGATGACTACTTCCAGATGTGGCAATATTCATCATGGTTGGAAACAAAAAACAAGCCATCTGTCTCCTCTGACTATCAAATGAATCTGACAGCGACTTCTAGGAGTTTGGATACAATGAGTCCAGTAACTTATAATATACATTATATATGTAAGTCTGTATATATTCATATACACACAAGGTATAAAACACACGCACATATACGTATCAAAGAAGATGCATATGTGAGTTGCATATATCAGTATAAGTTAACATATGCATATCTGCACAGATACACACCTCAGAGACACTATGATAAACAGGAAAGAGCAGTAGGCACGGGTTGACTTCCCAGCTCTCCTAGCTGTTCTGTGACCCAGAGTAAACTGTTGTCCCATTCTTGGTTGCAGATTACTCATCATTAGGAATATATAATAGAATTTAGTATCCGGTCACTATGGGCCTTGTAGTACTCACCTTGCATGTCCCACTGTGGTCTACATTCTAAACAGAATCTTTTAAAACTTTTACTCCCAAGGTCACATGCAGACAAGCTAAGAAACACTGGGCAGCTCTGAAAAGAATTACTCCTGTTACCACTCCCAGCCTTAACCCACACTCACTACTTCATATTCTTCACTTCTTACTTGTAAAGACCGTCTGGCTCCAGGCACTTGAAGATCACCGAGTAGATACTGACTTCAGGGACCTCTCCATGGCTTCGACCAGCTGCTACACAAGATGTGCCCAGGCCAGAGAGTAAGTCATCAGCAAAACTCAAGAATTCTCCTGAAATGAGATAAAAACAGATGAGCTCTCTAATGTGTGCCTTGATGAAAAGACATTACCAGAGAGAAGAGCAGATATGAAAATGTCAGAAATTGGCACCTACAGTGCTTAGTCTCTACATGATTGCTTGTGTGTCTGTTTTTATTAATAAGGCTTCTTGACATGTACCCAAGGCTGACTTTGAATTTGTTATTCTCCTTCTTCAATTCAATGCCAGTTTGTAGGGATTATAGCTGTATGCCACCATGCCAGACACGTGATGACTGTCCAGATTTATGCCTGAGGTTTACTACCTGTGACATATGAGCACTAACACTGAACTTTGTAAGATATGGTGAAGCTGAAATGAAGTAAATTATTCTTTAACAAAATGCACGGTAAAGACAAAGGAATTACTCTTTTTTTTTGGTGAAGAGTAACTGTTTCAATACTGCCACTGCTATTTTATTCTGACTCCATGCCCAAAGACTTTCCTTAGAGTGGCAGATTTTTCCATGTATATTGCAGGAGTTGGACTTAGGATAAAAGAGTTTTCATATCAGATGGCCACTCTCAGGTGCTCTTGCTGGATTCATGGAGTGTTATTTTGAGGTAGATATGGATTGAGATGTGTTAGGGGAGAAGAATTCTATGATGAGTAGTGAAGCCATGGGCATGGGAGATGACAGTGGAAGACATGCTGAGTAAGTGTGAGTGCCGAGCTCCACAGTTTCTGAAAGCTGGCTTAGCCACTGGATTTAAGGAAACGGTTAAAGTTAACTAGAAAATAACTCTGTGAGAGAGACTAAGTAGTAAAAGTTGGAAAGAGTAACTGAACTTTTAGAATAGAATAGTCTAGAATTAGTTCTGACAGGAGTTCATTGCATTGATTCAGACAGTGGAATCTTTATTTTTGTGCCATAATTTCTTCTTCTGTACTACAATAGTTCTTGAAAAACTAGCATAGATGAGTAAATATGTGTAAGACAGACAGTGTCATACCATCTAAACAGCATAGATTTAGAGATAATGAAATATTTAGCAATATAGAAATGACTGCCAATTTGGTAACTGTAGCTAAATAAAATGGGAGGAGACTGTATAGACTTTAAAAATAACTTTGGAAAAATATGAAGGTATATAAAAGGTCTTCTATGATGTATTTTTAGCAAAAATAGGACAAACAATTATACAATATCATTTTGTGGAAATTGTACACACACATGATTTTAAAAACAGGAGGAATAAAAATATAGTAAATTCTTAGTAGTGCTTTTGAAGTGAAATAATGGACACTTTTCTTCAATAAAAATATACAGATTTTGTAAAAATAAAAATTACTGAAAATAGATAAAGTAAATGAGCCTAAACAGCTTCTTGTTCCTTTCTAATTTTAAAAGTTGGATAATTCTGAGACAAAATTTGCATTTGAGAGGGTATTTTATGCCACACAGTATGAAATGTAATGTGTTCTCTTACCCATTGTTTCCTTAGATATATTCACAGAAAAGAGTTAATTAGTTACTCTACAGCAGGGATAATGTTCCTTCCAGAAGCCATAGATGACAAAATAAACAGCCTATTATCAGCTGCAGGATATGACAACTTCAAGGCTTAACGAGCATCCTTCAAGTAGGGGAGGAAGACGTAAGAGCCAGAAGTCAGGACTAATAGGAATAAAATAATGTCTTCTGAATATGGCAGGACTGCTGCACTTAGGAATTCACAGAAGTCTGTGGTTGCCTGCACAATACTTACAAAAGATCAAGCGAATCAACATTCCACCTAAGGCAGGGAATGACTCAGGATCCTGCATACCTCTCTGAAGAGCTATTTGATATTTGACGCCTTCTTGGGGAGCAAGAATCAGTTTCCTTTAAAAGTATGGTATTTGGTAAGCCAGTCATGTTCCATTGGATGGTTCAAAACCCCTGAGTACATGGGTACCACACATTGGATTAGGTGGGTTAGAAGTTGAGAGAGAGGAGAAGATGTATCTAGGATGTATCTTAGAGGTTCTGGGTAGGAGTGGAGTGAATATGATCAAAATAAATTTCATGTATGTATGAAATACTAAAAAATTAATAAAACTATATTTTAACACTCCCACCCAGCTCTGATTTCTATGAAATACAACAATAACCAGCACAATAACTCTAAGGTTGTAGTAGTGGCATACCACGTATACTCTAGCAGTAACCAACAGCTCTATAATTGGCATCAGGACCAACTCAACAAGAGGGAAATAGAATGGTACTGGACACCTAGCCAACTACCCAGGGCCAGTGTACTCATTGATCTTAGAGGAAAATTTATAGCTACCACTTTATTAAACCAGCATGATCCCTAACTATACTCTAAATATTTGTCCTCATACCCACAGGTAAGTGTAGTCCTCATCCCCCATGAAGGAAACGTCTTTTAAAAAGACCATTAAAGAAAACCACAATCAATGAAAAGGCAGAATCATGTGCCCAGCCCTAGGGGATACCTATATGAAACAACTTAGCCTACAGCTCAGGGAACATTGAGGAAGAGGGAGCAGAAAGAATTTAAGAGTCAGAGTATCAGGGAGTTTGCTGTGAGACTATGTCCTAGTAATCTCAGAAGCTATTCCCATAAACTTTCACCAACATGACTGCCCAAACATTAACTAGAAAGTAAAGCTAAGAGTCTAGAAAGAAGCAAAGATGTCTAGAAGCAGAAGCTTGCTGCTCATGGAGAGGTAAACAAAGCTTTTATCTACAGTAGCTTTAGACACCACATTCCTGCTATAGGCCTCATCGACATTTTAGATAGCACAGTCATAAATTGCAAAACGTTTCCATTCTAATGGGTATCAAGGCAGAATAGTATATGGGACTACAAATTAGGAAGAAGAAAAATGGATGGAATAAGAGTATTGTTTCAGTTAGTCTCAGGATTCCAAATCTGGCTGTTTGTATTTGTTTTCCTACAGCTTGTTTCCATGTCTGTCTGCCTTTCAATTTATTTCCAGATATCCATTGAAAAAATTGGCTCTTCATGAGGGAACTCAGTATGCTTGTAACTAATATTAATTAGCTGTCTGGAAGCCAAAAGATGGCTGGCATTCATTTTCAAATGGACACAGCTTTCCAGATATTTCCATAAATCTCAGGATCATTTGGGCCACGGTTTAAAGCTTTATAAGTATGTTAGGTCAGACTGCACTGTTCTAACTTCTATGTAGCTCCAAGGATTGTGAATATCGTGCAAGCGAAAACCCTAGATGACCTGAAGTATAGCAACTCATAAGCAGGACACTATAGTGTCTGGCTCTCATTGGGATTCTGTGCAAATAATGACTGAAGATACCTAATAAGAAAAGAACGGATGCTTTAGGATATACTTCACTTTTTTCACTTAATCCTTATAGCAACCAACAAGTCAGAAGTCATCACTCCACAATGGAGTAGAGATTAAAATTGCAAAAGAAGGGCCCAAGACTTGAACCTGCAATCTGCCAGTGCTGAAGCATCTTTTATACTATGCTGCCTCCTGGAGAGGATTTTAGGGGGATACTACTCAAAGCCGTTCAATTTACAGTTAAGTTCATGGCACCCTCTTAGTGCTATGGGCTTGTGGAATGCAACAATAAAAGAAATGGTCCCTGACCTTCTACAGCTTGTAATCTGACAACAGGAAGGGTTATTAAATACAAGAACAGAGTCATAAAGTAAATTGTATGATTGCTTTTCTTGGCTTTCTACTTCACATTGCAACGTAACATGTGTGGAGACAAGTGAATGAATGACCTTCAGTGTCCTTCCTTACCAAGTGGACAGGGGTCTAAGAAACACCTCAGGGGACTTCTCAATGCACAGATGCAGATGAGAGCAAATTCATCCACATGTGTTTTGGTTCTGCCACATACCATACTATGAGTCTGGAAGTGCTAAAACTCACTAAGTACTAATGTAATGCAGTAGGCAAGACCCTAGGCTCTGAATTTACTTTACAGAGGACTAAAGCTTTGTACACCCTCACCTACTACCTGAATTTGATAAGATCCTTACCTCTCTGCATCTATTTCTGTTTTTTTTTAAATCTGGAGAAATACAATATTAGAAAATATAGCATTGCAAATAGGCAAACTATCATGTAAATTAATCAGCAAAATGCCTAGCACATAGGAAGAACTAAAAATAGCTGCTGTTATTATTTGGTTTTATTTGTTGTTGCAAAGGTTTAGTCCTCTGTAGAAAAGGATTCTTAAAGATTATTTTGTCCATGCTTCTTCACTTACACATGACTGGAGAAGTGATCTTTCCATCACTATATACAAACAGGTGAATTGAAAGGAAGTTTTGCTCTCCTCACCCCTTTAATTCATTGCACAACTTTTCTCAGGCAGATACACAGACGTTAAGAGCTTTTGACTTTGTCATTGGACACCTTCTTCTTCAATTTCTGACTTCTCCATTTGATGTGAACACTGTATACACTTCATGTATACACTTTACTATGGAGTAGGCTCCATGTCAAGCATATGGTTCCACCCTGCCTCCAGTGTAATATATTCTAACAGTGGTTTGCATATTAAAATAGTTGGAACCCAGGGTGAGGGTTAAACACTGGGGGGAGCTGTCATCGGGGCCTCCTCTATATCCACTTTAACCTTCAGCCATATTAGCGATCAACGTTTTTTTAGTTTTTATTTTCATTTGATACTTTTTTGTTTTTTGAGTTATGTATGTGGCTTTATATATATGAGTGATGTGTCTGCTGAGGCCAGGGGACTTGGATCTCCTGGAGCTAGTTTCTGGAAGTTGTGAGCAATCTTCATATGAGTGCTGAGCTCCAAAAGTCCTCCGAAGGAGTATCAGGGTCTCTTAACCACTGGACCATCTCTTCAGCCCCATTTAGTTTCCCTTTAAAAATACAAAACCTTTCTTGCAAACTTGGCTTAGTGGGTTTACTTCTATTAAAAAAAAACAGAAGAAAATCCATGTGTGTATGTGTGTGTGGTATTGATGCCATATCCCACATATGGGAAGCCC